GGGCGGGGGCGGAGAGAAGAAAAGAGAAAAATGTAGCCCAGGAAGATTTAAGTTCAAAGTGGCAGAAGAAAGGCTTTTATTTTTATTTTTGCCACAGAAAAACCCTTTCTAATAAAGCCTATGGGAGAACCTAATTCTCTTTGCAGACCCAAGTGCTAATCAATTCCCTGGGCTCCTTATATAAACAGCAGCAGTGGGTCTGACAGGATTGGGTAATCTGGGACTATATCTGAATACTTGTTTCATAACAAGGAGGCCACTTCTAGCTCCTCCATTTAATATGAGGTGTTAAAAGTCTTTATCCCACAGTCTAATGGCGTGGAGAAAAGGATCTGAAGCAAAAGTGTTATTAAAATAGCAGTGCATCCAATGGCAGTGACTGTGGGTGTCTTCTACAGCTGTTTTTCTGCTCTGTAGAACCAGGCTATCGACTTTGGCAACACTAACCCACGGCTTTGAAAACACTGGCATGGCCGTAACAATGATGTGTGGCATCCATTGTGAGCATTTGAAATCTGTAATCAGTTTTTTTTTAAAAGTTTACTATCTATCATTCTACACACACACAAGTCACACAATATTAGAACTATGAAGGACCTTGGGTATTACCTACTTCAGATCCCACTCATTTTATATTTGAGACCACTAGGTCCAAGGTCACTCAAATGTGCCAACTCATTAAGAATAAGAAGGCTGGGGGTGGAGGTAGAGAAAATCCGAAGTAGAATCCTAGGAATCAGATTGATGAAAAGTTTATATACCTAAATAAATGTTAACACGTATGAAAGTTTTCAATCCAATAGCATCTGAAAGGTGAGTTCAGAGGCAGTGAGCAGACGACAGATACCGATAAAACAAAAAATAGTGATGCTTATTTACTTTTAAACAACAGGAAGGAATTACCTCAACACATTAGCACACAGTACACATCATGACTAGAATGGGAAATGTGACTTAAGAAATAATAATAATGCTTTCCTAGGTTAAAGCCTCCCCAGGCAATACAGTTTTTAATTTTTGTTTTTTCCAGTGCAGAGGAGGGTTGCAGAAAATCATATTTTTGAGTGACCAGGCCAGGTGATCTCCCTTGAAGAACAATTATCATCCTCTTAAACTGAGCTTGTGGCCCGGTCCAGCTACCAGTGGCTGACCTGCATACTGTCACAACACCACACTAGCACTAATATTACTCTCATTTGTCTGCTGCACAGAAGAACCCTTGTTCTGTAGGTATTTTAAGTCAGCATAAGTGAGCTTTTAATTTCCTTTTATATGCTAGTTGGAAGAAAAAAAATTGATGGATTTGAATGAGATGTGGGACTGCCACAAGAACAAACAAATCTATCTTGGAAGAAGTACAGCCAGAATGCTTCTTAGAAGTAAAGGCGGTGAGATTTTGCCTCAAGCACTTTGGACAGGTTATCAGGAGACACTAGTCCTGGGAGGAGGACATCATGCCGGGTAAAGTGGAGGGGCAGCAGGAATGAGGATGGTCCTAGACTAGCTGGATCGACACGGTGGCTGCCACAATGGGCTCACCTAAGAACCAGCGTGAGGCTGGTGCCTGACCATGCCATGGTTTGCTCTGTTGTACACAGGGTCGCTACGAGTTGGAACCAACTCGATGGCACCTAACAACAACATCCTATAGTCCAGTATGAACAAAAGAGGTATTTCCTACTTTCTTAAAACAAGAGCAACAAGTGAATTCAAACTCACTGCTATCAAGTCCATGCCAACTCATAGCGACCCTATAGGTCAGGGCAGAACTTCCCCTGTGGGTTTCTAAGACTATAACTCTTCACGGGAGTAGAAAGGCTCATCTTTCTTCTACAGAGTGGCTGGTGGTTTCAAACTGCTGACTTTGTGGTTAGCAGCCCAAAAGGCAACTACTATGTCACCATGATTCCTTTCCAAAAGACAACAGAAATTGGAAATAATTCATGTCCAAATGATTTATTTGCTAATATCAACAACTTGATGTGCAAATGGATATGAGACTGACAACCAAGATTCATAGACCAGTGCAGTGCTGAGTGCTTTCCACCAACTCGGGACACGTAGCGGACTCTCCTTTTAAAGAACTAAAGAGCCATAGAGTGGTGAGATACTGAAAAACGCTGAAAGACACAAACTGGGCTGCGTAGAAACAAATGGGTGAGAACCAGCAATGGCCAAGATTAAAAGAAATAAAGATCAAAATATGACATAACAAAGTACAGCAAAAAACCAAACAAAAAGAAAAGCAAGTCAGGGCACTGGGGTCTTTCGCTCCTCTGAATTCACAGTTGGCTAGACTTCTTAATGAAGAGTACTGTGTACAGTTTGAACGATGAGGTGCACATTTGTCAACATTCCAGAGAAGAGTAATAAGAATAATTAAAGGGTTGGGATATAGGCCATATTAAGAAAAGTTAAAAGGAGATGGGGATGCTTGGCTGGGAGAATAAAGGCTAAGGAGGTTAATGACAATATTTAGGAGCAGAGAACACTGTGCCGGGATGGTGAGTGGCTGGGGCACCGAGGACAAAGTGAAAAAGAAAAGGCTGACTAGGGAACACGGGCTGGCAGAAATGCCTTACTGCGGGGACGAGGAAAGGGCCTGGGGAGAGAGGGTGGCCAACTCATCTTAGAATGGAACTCATGCAATCAGACTGGATCTCACCTTTTGGTGTCCCCAATAAAATATATTTTTTAATGCTCATAAGATTAAAAAGTTCTACAGTTCTGCAGGCCCCACTGCCCTAGAGGAGTGTATGGTCTGTGAGATTCTGAGTGTGGAAAAGCTACAAATTGTGTAAGCTTCAAATGAACTTTCCTGACTCTGTCAAAACAAACAAAAGCACACAAACTTAGGGACAGCTACAGACCTTTCAATGGAAAAGTCCAGCAATTAATTCTACACTTTGGAATAAAATGAGGTGATTTCAGCTAGTTATAATGGGAAGAAAAATATCCTGAGATCAAACATACCAACCTGCCACAAAATTTATAAAATGGTGGTGCTGGCACCAGCCTGTCTGACCATGAGGTGCAGAGGGGACCAGTTATCAGACATC